TGTGGGTTTGTTTTTTTTTTTTTTTTTTTTTTAATAAAGAAAACAGAGCCCTAACACTTCCGTTCAAATGCAACGGTTTCCTCCACTTACTAAGCTAGGAGAGAACGTTTATTTTCTTCTGCCTTTGAAAACACAGGTTTCATTCGGCCTCAAGGTGGCGATACAAGTGTGATAGTTGCTGGCTTCCAAGGCTGCTTGTACTAAAATCGAATCAATCTGCATTATTTCTTCTGCTGCTAAGGAAAGAGTTCTTGGTAAAGAAACAGAGTGGCATTACTGCTGCAGCTCTCATCGCTAAAACAACTCTGCATTATCAAACATTGGAAATAAAAAAATTAAGGGAAGGTAAATCCTCAAATACTTTTCCTGTTTAGATCTTCAGAACAGGATTTAAGAAGATATTATCTCTACACCTATAAGTATTCCCAAATGTCTCTCATACATATGTATATTATAATTAGCCTAATTGGATAGCAATTGTTTACAGCTTTGGTGAATAGCATCTTTTTTAAAAGTATAATTCTATGCATATGCTCAAACATACTAAGATGATGTTCAGGAAGGAGTGAATAACTAGCAAAAATAAACTCGTGCTAACCTGAAAATTAAGGAGTTTTTAATGAAAGCTACAATTTTCAGGGAAAAAAAAAGAAGTGTATTTAGTCTAAGTGGTCTTCTACACAAAAAAAAAAAAAAAAAAAAAAAAAAAATGTTTTCCCTGAAACAAATATCTGATGTACTAAAATATTCTTGTTCTCTGTAAACACACAGATCATGAAAACTTAACCTAAGTGCCACACAGGAAAATGCAGGAAGAAAATTTTTGAGATGGGGGCAATGTAAGGAAAAGAGTCATATTTCTACTAGAAGACTTATTTAGTGTAAGGGTTTTTTCAGGTTAAGTTGATGCTCATTGCTGTGCATTCATATTTTGGTACTTATTTTCAGGAAGGGTAAGAAGGAAGATACAGTAAGCTACAAGCCAGTCAGCCGAATTTCAGTCCAGGGAAATTTATGGAAAAAGTCCTACTGCGCAGACTACCCATTGCAAGAGTACCCATAGAAACATCTGGAAGCTCTGCACAGTGATGGCCACCTAATAGTTGAACTCATAGCTGAGCTGCTAGAGGTGAACCATAGAAATGTGTCTGCCATCAAAAGTTTTATTGCAAATTTAACACTTTCTCACTACAAATAAAGATCAGAGAAATTTAGAATCAATCTTGTCATGGCTCAGATTTTCCTGTGCCTTATATGTAATTTGCCCGGTCATTCATTTATCATGCTTAACATCCGCATAAGAGTATGTCAGAGATAAAGTACAACCTGTATTCTTTCCACATAGAAATGTATTCTCACATGCAATTCAGCCACAAAACCCAGATTAAATTTGTTTTAGATTTTGGTAAGCACCAAATGTTCAGAGGAGAGTGCAATTCTGATTATGTTGACATGTTCAGCCCTACAGATGCTATAATGAATACCTTCATTAAAACAATATATATTTTTTTAATTTAAAAAAAAAGTACCTCAGCCAGTTATTGGCATACAAGCATACAATAAACAAGGCAGCTTTATTTTTATTTTCCTTCTCATTTTAAGAATCCACTGCTACAGCAGGGTTTAAATTTACATGCGTGTGTTTTCCATATCATTAACCATAATATTAATCCTTGATATGCCTTGATCCATCAAACTGGTACGTCTGCTAGTCCCTAACCAATTTAACCTCTTCCATGCACAAATGTTTAGAAAATCCCATTACGAAGAATAAAATGTTTTCCCCAAAAAGGAGCAGTGAGTGCCACAGGCAAGCACAATTAGATATTAAATTACTTAAATTTGTTGAGGGACAACCAGAACCATACTCTGAGTCAAATTTGCACACAAAACCCATAACAATCCTATTAACTTGGTAAAAATAATTCTTTTATGTGAGTTATAACTCAGGAAAGACTCCATATTTAAGCTATAAACAGCACCTGCATCTTCCAGATTGGGGCAGAGGGACCTATTTCAAGCCAATTTGAGCATGAAGGCTATACAGACCTTATTGTTGATGAAATGAAGCATTTCTGAAGCTTAAATATAGTACTCCACTATTATAATGAAAAGCGATTGGTATGAGCTCTACAGATACACAGGACAAAAGACAGCATTTTCAGACCAAGAGGATTCGGTCTGCTGAAAAGATAGAATATAAAAATGAAATAGAGAACACAGCACTTGAAAGCTAAGAGGAACTGAAAAGACAGATGAATAGCTGCTTAGAAAGCTATAACGAACCATGGAATGCAAATTGCACAAAGACAAAAGATTCAAGAACTTCAAACTAAAGTGAGCCTTGAAGAGAAACTTAATTTATTTAATCCACAGTAAACATAGTTGGCACTGTGGTTCAAATACCGCTCTCCTAATACAGACACAGTAGTCTCCCTGGAACATTATTTAAACCTCCAACTGAAGAGGAAAACAACTTCTGCTAGTACACATGCATTATGCTTCAATATTGTAGAGTAAATCCAAACAAACAAGAGTAAAGATGAAAACTAGAAGCACAAATGTCAAGGTTACTTCAGTTATCTTATATTTGCTTCTTGGCAAAAACCTCTAGAACAAATTGAGAAGAGGCTTATGGAATGGGGTTTTTTGATGTGAAAATTAGGGGGTTTGAACATTATTAAGTTCTGCATTTCCATGAAATGTAAAATTTTATGTATCTATCTTGTTACCATTAAAACTTGCAACAAAGCTGAAATAATCCCATCTTTTTTTTTTTTTTTCCTCCAATATAATGAGTTGTGCCAAATTCCATTTTAGGATTGAGAAGCCAAACTTCCTTTATTTCTTGAAAATTGAACAGGGATCCCACCCATAACTCAGAAATCTTTCTTCAAATATTGAATTGATTAGGCTCAACAAAATATTTCAATTTCAATGAAACAGCAGGTTTTCAACACAAAAATAACTCTCTCAAACCATTTCATCACGCATACCAGAGTTAAATTACCTCACAATCTCTGTTATGGTCTGCTCTACTTCAGCTTATTTCCTACAAAAAGGTGCTTAAAATACTAAGGCAAGCGCAAGTCTCATTGAAACGGAGAAGAAAGTTGGCTTGTTGAAGGAATCCGTTAAGCCTTCCCAAAAGACGTTCCAGTATCAGCTGAGCGATATGTATGGGACAACAGATACATGCACACGTGTCTGAAGTGCTTTGTACTTCACAGACTGCTTAGACTAATACTATGTGCTTTGGAAATTGTCATGGCAACAATGTATTTCCTTACAAATGGAAACAGTACAGTAAATAGGCATATAAAACCCCCTTGTAGCCTGACAATAATGTTGCTTAAGCTTGCATGCCCTCCTTCAATAACAAACAGAAGCAAGGGTGTCAGTGGCACGTGAAAAATCCACACGCGGGGCAAAATCCTGTTAACAGGCGGCTCACGCTGCTGGACAAGTGAAGGAATCAACATGGAAGGAGCAGGACTACCTCCTATTCACACCAGGCCGGTAGGCTTCACAGGTGGAGGAATCATCACGGTGGAGTACAAGGAGAAAGTACTCAGCAAACACTTTCTGTTAAGGCAGAACCCCACAGCGGGGTGAAACACTACTTAAATTGGACAAAAATGAACAGATGCCATCCATGTTCTCAGATAAGCATATAACAGTCAAATTTCTTGTCTCTGTGAAAATGAGTTAAGACACACGGGGTCCACTTCAAATTGGACTGGCTAGCTATATGTACTACAGTCTGATTCTATTATAAGTTGCAAACAAATAACCGGGAGGGTGTCAGGGAATCCTGTTGTTTTTCTCTACTACTGTGCTAATTTCTCAGGTGAACCGAGGCCACCTCTAAGTGAGCTCGCTGTTGGAAAGACACAGCACATCACTGACGTTCTAACACCACTTCCACAACGCTTTTTTCACTTCCCATCTAATCCAACATAGAACGATGGAAACATTGTTAAGTCCAAAAGTGGCAACATGATTAAACTTTCATCTAAAATTTTCAATATTTTAAATGAATCCTTCTTCCTAGCTGTTTTTTTCTGTAGAAAAAAATACTTGTTTAAAGTGAACTTTACATGAGTCAGTCATTTCAGACACTTCAAGGAAGTACCTGAAGGGTCCACCCATTGTCTCTTGAAAAAAAAAAAAAATTCTTTTTCAGTAAGCAGAAGTTAAAAAAAAATTATGCTGACATATCTTCAGTAAGCAGATTTGAAAAATTAATTTTGACAAATATTCCCAAACTTCCTTTCTATCTCCATCTTAGCATTCACTTAAATAGTGTAATAGCCTTAGGAGTAGCACCGTATAATGTCTTTTACATTGCCAAACCAGATAAGTAAAATGCTGTCTGCAACCTGTTGGGTTTTGTAGAGCTTGTGTCATTTTCCCTCTTTGATATCAGATAAATGATATATAATAACTGTTTTATTGTACTCATCTGTCACTGAAAAAAAATCGACTTAATCCAGTATTTCCATGTTCAACTCTAATCTGGAAGCAACAAAAAACCACACAGTTCCTGGTTTGAGTACTGCATTCCTCCTTGATTGCATATAGAGACTTTTGCTTCAAAGACAACAATCATCTGAATGATTAGTATCTCTATTAATCTTGACTGAGATTTAGCTTTGGAACGAGCAAAGAACCGTAAAATGGACAAGTCTTAGTTAAAGTTGTTCCCATTCAAACCAGTGGCAATGCTCTTGCCCCTCCATGGCAACTGAATACTTCTGAAAATTCTGATTTATCAACCAAGGTATTTTTCTGCTAAAAGAACAATATATTCCAACACATGTAAGCCGTGATGGCTTTAAAGCCACAATTCCATAATTCCAAACCTCTAACAAAGAACAACTATCCAACTATTCAACTATCCAGTTTGAATATCACCTGTATTCAAACTTTAAAATCAAGAAACTCTTGCAGTTTTTCCCAGTCAGAGAGGAAAATAAATACATGGACCATGGTCCTACCTGTGGGTCCGACAGTCGAGAAAGGTCAGGGTACAAGTAGAATTTTATCCCCTCGGAAGCACCTGGTAACGTTACTCCACGAATCAGAAGAATCATCAACATGATATAGGGGAACGTGGCTGTTACATATACAACCTAGCAAGAAGAAGAAAACATCAGAAAAATATTTTCTTCCAACTGCAAGAAAACTGTCTCATTTCCAACATCCATTTTGCTGTTAGATAAAAACCAAATCATTTTCTGGAGGAAAAGTGCTTGTGATGCCCTTGTTCATGCAGGTGAATTTTGTCCTCTAAACATATTCCCTTCTCAACTACATATGACTTGCAGGAAAGCTCAACACTTTTTTATAAAGAGATTGGGAAGCACTCTTTAAGTATATTATTTACTCTCTCTTTGTGAGAGTGGACCAGACACCACCATACTACAGCGTACCTGTGTACTATTCCACATACTATTCCAAACACAGATACAAGGACATTGACTCATAAAAGCAAGTAGTTAATTGCATTATATGTTATGTATTACATAAAACCATACGCAATGAATTCTCAGAAACCTAGTAATTACTAAACTGTCATCTCATAAGACTGCTTTGCCTGCATATCTCTGAGGAATAAACATTTCATCAAGCCTAAAGGTTAAATGCTATGTGTATCTCCTTGCAAATTGCAATAGTACCCTTATAGTGCAAAGTACCTTCAGGCAAGATTTCTGAAGCACTCAAGCCCAGCAATTTCTGTTTTCACATATATGGCCATATTTTTTTCAGAAATCAGTTTGTGCTGTGCATGGGGATCTACTAAGCTTTTCTGGAAACCTGCAAGAAGTCACGTTTTTCAAAGGAAAAATTGAGCAGAACTGATGCCATTTTATAATCCTGAGATCAGTATATAGCTATTCAAACTTGGAGATGGATGAAATGATAAATTCCAAGTCACTATAAAGATTTCCTTTAAATAATGACATACCTTAAACTTAACTGTCCATAATTCTCTATAGCCATTCTCACCTGTGCAAAGTAGGTATAAAATATCCTAATATGCAATATTACTCTTATACATAAAATCATAGAATGGTTTGGGTTGGAAGGGAGCTTAGAGAGCCCATCTAGTTCCAACCCCCTGCCATGGGCAGGGACACCCTCCACTAGACGAGGTTGCCCAAAGCCCCATCCAACCTGGCCTTGAACACTTCCAGGGAGCGGACATCTACCTTGCGCAGTTCAAAATTACTTAAGCTGCAAGAATGGGGAAAATCATTGGTGAAAAATATAGTATAGCCCTCAAAAATATGCATTTTAAATTCAAAAGTTCATTACCTGTCTCATGGCTATGTAAATGAAAGAGATACATGAGAGAATGTACCCATGAAAGGTTTCTCAAACACATTTTCATGACCAATTAACTGCATCTTGATTTTCAGATCATCTTGAATATTTAACCCCAGACATGCAATCATCTCACGTGTGCCTCAGCTGCTACACTCAGAAATCACATGGCAGATCCTCGAGCATGGCCAGCTGCCCAAGACATATTTAGACACTTCACTCTCACTGACCTTAACAGGAGATAAGCATCTATGTACCTTTCAGGTGTCTTATCCCTTTTGAAAATACAAGCCATGATTTTCCCAGGAAATGGAGACAAACATTGTATTCCTACAGGTCTCAGAAGCCTGAACTGATGAATTCATAGGTCCATAAAATGCAAAATGGAATCCCAGTGCTTACCTTTATCATAATAGACTATTAGTGGAAATGCAAAGTGATATGACTGAGTTCAAATGGACCTTGTCTCAAAGAGACTTCTCTCCACATTTAGGCTTCGTATAAAAATGGATCTTCAGTTAATGAGAAGTAAAAAAAGAAACACATGGAATGGACATGGTCCTGCTCTGACTCTTATACTGGGTGAAAAGGACAAAATAGCCAGCAGCTGTTTTTTATGTTTTTGTATTTAATCCTTTGCCAGCTATTTTTCTCTACTTCTTTTAAATCAATAGTTGGTTTTAATAGGGGATAGTCAGTAGACATAAAGATTTGATGACATGGAAGGTATTGCACCTGAATATCTGTTATAACATTAAAGCATAACGTTTCACTGCATCATGATTCATTAACTACACTGGTCTGCAGCCTGCTATCTCACTCAGCCTGCCACGGCCTTGAAACATTTTACACCAGTAAACAATTTTGTACAAGCAGACTTCTTCCCAGGTTCCTTTGGGTGTATTTCCTCACTGGGCTCCATCAAGGAAGAGCTGAAACCACTCATCCCTATGCCCAAGAGAGGTCAGGTAAAAGTACCCTTGTAACAGCAGTCTGCAATCCAGGCTTGTAGAGTTAAACTTCATGGTTTTCTGCTCACTTTTCCAATGCTTTCCACAGCCCATCCATGCGTATTACCACTGTTGCAAGTACTAGAACCACAACCGCTAGCATATTTTTTTATCACCAGGGTAGTTGTGCCTCAGCTTTAGAGCAATGAGGACTCTTCTTCCTTTCTGGTTACCATGCAGAAAGAGGATATAAATAGAGCGCAATTGGCTCAGTACTTCTGGCAATAAATACTAATGCAGATCTCCAGAACGACAATGAAAGAGATGCCAAGGAAGCATGTGTGGGAAAGATACACCCTTCCTGAGCCAACTGACATTTGTTGACAATTTCGGTGTTAGTGCTCATACAGCTAATGAGGCTGCTAAAACTGCAAGCTTCTCTTGTATCACAACAGGGACGTGCATTGTGTTCAGAGAGGGGAGAGAAGGCCACTGCTCGTAGGTGGTGTTCAAGTCTCCCAGTATGTTGAGCCACCTAATTCCATGGCATCCAGTACAGCAGTTGCTCGCTTTATCATGCTTCGCTAGAGCTCGTGAGGTGAGGGAGGATGGGGCATTTTAGAAATCAAATGCCATTATTAGTTTCGTCATCACATCTGTAGGCATTAAAAGTTTCCTGAATTGTTTTCTTTTCTTTCAACACATCAAACCTCTCTGAATGTAAATGTGAACACAACTGTTTCTAATTGCACTGCATCCTGTTTTAATTGACTTTAATTGCTTGGTATGTTAATTTGCATTCCAATGCTCAAAATGCTTTTTTTAAATCCTAGTCAGACCAATGCCAGTGTTTAAGCAGTTGGAAACAAAATAAAAATTTCTGGCATGCTAGTTTTTGCACCAAGTTCTCCTACTACAATAGAATTGAAAGACAAATTTACAAAGATATTTAGACATACAACTTTGTGGAAAGGCACCTACTGGGATGCCTAACAGCTCTTAAGCATACTTAGGTGCTTAACTGAAAGTACATTAGGACCAAAGATCCTGAGAATAGACTGCAATGAACTTTAAGTACCAAGCACTGGAACTTTACATACCAAAACCTTAAGAGACTTAGATGTCTGTGTCACTCAAGGCTAGTTATAAAGATATCTAGATATCTATGCAATGATTTCATGAGTAAGGCACCATAAAGATCTTGAGAACTGAACTAGCTGCCAGTTTGCATCTTTTCCTACCTAAGTATCTTTAAAGTGCAAATACGGGTACATAGCTTCAAATTTGGCTACTGGGACTGTTGAACTTCTTATCCTAAATGAAAAGACGCTTTTCTGAACATTCCGGCCAGACGATGCCACAGAGGTTCAAGTGAAGGTGACTTGGCTTGTGAGAAAATGTAGAAGAAATACACGATAAATCTGTGGAGAATAAGGAAGAAGCCCTGCATGCAATGAATTGAGCCATGCACCCACAGAAATATAGAAGCCTAAAACCAGATTTCTCTGGCTATGGCTACTACAGAACACACCAGCCTGATGTTCACACTCTTCCTCACAGCAGCTTCTTAGCAGGGTGAGTAATGAATAGGAAATAGTGAACTTTAATCCTTTGCTTGGCTCTTGCTGAGAACATAACTGAACTAGAATTCAGTGAACAAAACATAACATTCTGAGGCTAGGAAGTTGAGGGAATTCTTTCCTGCAAGCTGCGATGTTCGAGTTTGTTTGCACTATAATGACCCAATTGCATTTTATAAATGGAATAAAAGTGTTTTGTTTCACCTGATGCTTCAGAAAATTACTGGCTTGCTAATCCCCTTCCCATAAAGTCCCCTCTTGCTCCATTAGGCTATAAAAACAAGTAGTATCAATGCAAGAATTGGCAGAAATTTGCCAAAACTCAATATTAGAAGAGTTATATGGAAAATAAGACTTGACTCCATGCCCTGCTCATCCTTATCTTTCATTTAGTGTTTTCAGCCTATTGACTAGCCATTTAGCCTATTCATTTAGTTGACACTGACCAACTTCCTTTGTTAAGAGGAGACTGATGAGCAGTCTTCAGATCTTGGTGACATACAAGGTTTGTCTGCCCAGGACAAATGAAAGAAAATTATGCCCAGACTGCAGTACACTCCCGTGTGAAGAAACAGCTTGGGAACCAAAATTTCACTACCTGAGTGATGTGGCAGGGAAAAGAGTAATTTTTATCCTTCTTTACAGTGTTGATGCAGAAGAGCATATTAGTACAACTATAGAAATATAATTATCTTACCACTGTCTGGCAGCTCTGTATCTTTGTAGATACACATACATAATTGATATTACCAATTTGGGCATGATTTCCATGAAAATTTAAAAAGAGTTCTACATGCCGTGGTTAACCCAGGCATCTTGGTTCCACTAATATTTTTCCAGTTTCACAAATTCTAACTTCCTAGATGTTAACAGCAGATAATGCTACAAAAGATTTTCTTTTTCAACCACCATGGTATACTGTGAAATATTCCATGCAGCATTGTTTGAAAAAGTCTTTTGCTGATATGACACTATAGCATCTACGGACATAGAAATGACAACTGAGAAGAGATATTTTCAACATTAATTGGATTTACAAGAAAAATGGTATAAGACAGTATAAAGGAATGACTGCTAATTCACAACTTTTTAAAAATGTGTGTCAAAAGGGGGAAACAAAATTATAGATCTACCTATATTTTAAAGCTAAAATTTCATATGCAGAAAAAGAAACTAAACCAAAAACCCAACAGAATACCAGATGATGGATTTGTATGATGTATGATTGGGATGGTGGTGGGCGGGGAGAGAGAATCAGCAAAATGGCTCATTTTG